GCACGTGCCTGGCCTGGCCGGCGTCCCGCCCTACTGAGCTGCAGCCGAGGGGCTGGGAGCCGTGTCTGAGCACGGGGGAGGCTGGGCCTGGCATTTCCTTGCAGGGCCTAGCACCAGCTGGGCAGACGCACAGGTGGGAGCTCCTTCTGCCCACCCCAGATACCACGCTGCCCAGCCTCCCCTGCGCAGGGCTGGGAGTCGCAGGCGGCTCGGGGCACGGAGCATGGGCAGCAGGATGCTTTGCGGATGCTCCTGCTCTGGCCCTGCCCGGGGAGGCTGCTCCGACCCGAGCCCGGTGGGAGCAGACATGCCGCTGGGCACTGGGCTGCGGCACTTGGGGGCAGGCAGCTGGGAACTGGGAGCTCTGGCACTGGGTGCCACTCGCTCGTCCCCCAGCAAAAGTGGGGCCAGCTCGGGACACCTGGGTTTGGGGGGCTGCACAGCACTGCCCCCACTCCCCCATATAGCCCCCAGGAGGGGGAGAGCTCGGCCCCTGTGCCGCCCCGCGCCTGGGGGCACAAGGGCTCCGGGCCCTGGAGGGAGGGAGCCGGCCCTGCCCCAGCAGTGTCCCAGACCCCCTTTCCCCGGCTCTGCCTCCAGCGCCCGTCTCTCTGCGGGCCCCAGCGGTGCAGGGCAAGGCCACGGAGTCGGGACCCGCGCTCATGCTCCAGGGTCACCGAGATCGGGCTCCCACCAGGAACCAGGGAACTTTCCCAGGGCCACGCCATGGGGAAAGGGCCCCTCTGCCACACGCGGGGCTGCCCCACAGCACGTTCCCAGCCCCCTGGAGGAGAAGGGCCCAGGCCAGGCGTGGGTCTGATCCCTGGCGCTTGCCCCTTGCAGAAGGGGAGGTGCCCGACCACCTGTGCCTGCAGCTGCACATGGCGCCAGCAAGAAGAGCTGGGCAGGGAGCGGGTGGGGGCAGGATCTCCAGCCCTGGACCAGATCTGGGGGCTGGTGGCCGTGCTGGGCAGGGGGGAGCTCGCTGGGGCCAGCCCAGTGCCGGGGTCCCCCCCTGTGCCGGGTGCAAGGCGCCAGCCCCTGAACCGCGGCTCTGTTTGCAGCCAGGATGGAGCGGAGCACGGGGGGCCCTGCGTGGACGCTTGCCGGACCAGCCGCCCCCTCCCGGGGAGCCCTGCGCCCCACGGCCAGGGTGAGTCCGGTCCCGCGGTGGGG